TACAGGCAAATAACTGCCAGGTCTAAAGAGCAAAGTCAGCAGTTCTGTCAAAGAGAGACCCTGGAGTGAGGAGTCATTTGCAACCCTTAAGTTTCAGGACAGTAAGTGTTTAGGAATGTCAAACATCAAATTTAAAAATGAAAAGATTAACTATAAAGACCATCCTAGGTCTTAGCTTGGCCTTACTTTCTCTGCTGTAAACAACTGAAACTCACGGACAGACGCTCCTGTCAAAGCTGGTCTACTTACGTAGGAAATCAAGTTGCTCTAAAAAAAATGTTTTGCACAACTGAGTATAATTCTTGGGCCTGAGGAAAGATGGGGTTTGCATTCTCAATAACAGCTACTTTTTCATGTCAAAGATAATTTTAATTATGATTCTTCCAATTGCTTCAAAGTCTAAATTACTAAATGCACAAAGTATTTAGGCACTTAGCCAACGGACTTTGTACATTTAAACCCTGTACTGCTTTCCCACTGATCGGACTCTAGGAGAATTCGGTTTTAATAGAATACAGATGACGAAAGGACTCTAAGGGGATATCACCAAAATTTTCTAGGAAATTTCTCGAAGTGAATACTCTTACAGAGCAGAGGTGAAAGTAATGAATCCGTGAACTAGACTTAATTTGATTCCTAGCTCTGTTACTTTCTACTTCTATGATCTCAAGTAGGTTCCCCAATCTCAATGGACTCTAATCCAATCACCAATAAAATGAAAATAGCAGTGCCTATTTTATAAGGCCAGTGTAGACACTAATGAGACACTGACTCCACTTTAGCACACTGCTAGGCACACAGGAGGTGTCCATTCAAACTGTTATTACTGCCACAGTTACAATTACTCTTTATCCTGGAATTAATCATCCTCATGTAAAAACTCTAAACATGCACTAATATTTATTCATTGTAAGACTGTACAACCTGTAGCACACTGAGCACAGGAAAACTAAAGTTAGCACTATTGAAATGTGTTGTGGGGTGGGAGAGAAGGAAAATGGAATCTCAAAGGTCCCTGATCCTAAAAGTTTCAGAAATGACCCATCTTGCCTACAGGTGAGAATTTCAATCCAAAACCAACATGTGGAACCAAGGCATTGAAAAGAAAATATAAGTGACAGTACTTTTAGCAAAAATGTTGAAATAATACAAAGAGCAAAAGTGGGGAGAAAGGGACTTCTTCAAAATAAAACACTCACCCCCCCTTTTATTCAAAATATACTATTAGGAAATTTAAATGGGGAAGGCTGGAGAGATGGCTCAGTGGTTAAGAGCACTGGCTGCTCTTCCAGAGGACCCAGGTTCAATTCCCAGCACCCACATGGCAGCTCACAACTGTCTATAATTCCACTTCCAGGAACCTGATGCCCTCACAAGAATACATGCAAGACAAACACCAATGCACATAAATAAATCTTAAAAGAAAGTTAAATGGTTAAATAAGAAGAATAAAATGCATGCAAAACACATGTATTTCAAAGACTTGTACCTAAGCTCAAAAAAAAAAAATTAAACAGATTCTTCAAGGAAGACAAAGAATGGATAAGGACACATCACCAGGGCCTTGAAACAGCCACACTGAGGACATACCACATGCACACTAGAACGTCAACATTTCAGGACGGTTCTACCAAGAGCTGACAAGGACCTCCAATCCAGTCCGATTTAGTCTGAATGTTAGTTTCCAGGATCTCCATATGCTAGAAGATACTGAGCTATCCTTCTTTAAATTGAGTTCCATTACAATTATATTCCTCCATATTCTCTGTCTATTCTGTCCATTATATATAGTGTTTAAAAGGCAAATGGCACTCCCTAATTGTCACAGAGCCAAGCAACAGATAACTAGCTTCTTTTCACTCTTGCGACTTCCCTCTAAGTCCACTCCTATGTTAGTACTTAATAAAGAACACAAAAAAAAAAATCAAAATTTCTGCTCCCCTTCTGTTTATTTACCAACCTTCTATTTTTCAGCCCCTTGATGCTGCCAGCACACAACCGCAAGAAGTGACTGATTAACTGTTTGGACTTGATGAAATTTGAAACTCTTTTAGCATTAAAGTTTTTTTTTTTTAATATTCTTTTAACACTTGTTTGTTCGTTTTGGGGGGGGGGGGTGTATTCAAGAATGGCTGCCCGCGTGGAAGTGTCAGTTCTTTCCTTCCACCGTGTGGGTCCTGGAGTTCAAACACATCTTCAGACTGAGCAGTAAATGCTTTTACCCTCTGGCCATCTCACTAGCCCCCAGCTCTCAAGTTTTAAGGATACCATTCATAACAAGCTTTAATAATGAATAGAAATAAAATAATTCTAAAAACTGAAAGAATGACTTACCCACTTATCCTATAATGAGGAAACTCATTAAAATATTGGTCTTAATATTTGTCTTTTTCCACAGTAAACCTTTTATGTCCTTAAAAAGGAGATGATTCTAAAACCTGGTTTTGTTTTTGTTTTTTAGGGTTTTTTTCTTTAAGGAAAAACAGGTTTGCATAGTGACTATAATATTTTTTACTTTTCAATTTTGGCTTCCATAAAGTTTGGTATGCCTTCCAGCCCCCACTCCACCCCTGAAACAGAGTTTCTATGTAGCCCTGGCTGTCCTGAAATTCATTACATAGACCAGGCTAGCCTCGGCATCAGAGACCAACCTGCTTGGGCTGCTCAGGAATTTTGGTCTAACTGCTTGGTTGCCTAAAACCTTGGCTATACTCAAACCAGCCACCAGAAGAGCACAGAAGGGCAGGCAACAAGCAGCTGGCTATAGGAAAGTTCATCCAACAGTAACAGGCAAACAACCGGCTGCTCTGCTAAGACACTAGTGTCCCTATTACTGAGAAACAAGTGATTGAAAACAGAAGGCTCAACACAAAAAAAGAAAAAAAATCAATATAGATTAGTTTCAAAATGAGAATGGTTTTTGTAACTATGAATGTGTTCAACAAACAGAGTAGAAGGAAACACTCATATTTCCTGTTAATAAATTTGATTTTAACCTGTTCTTCTAAATCACATGTGATATATAACCGTGTCTTTTGGGTCTCTATTACATTCCCTGAAGATAGAATTCTCTCCTAGAATAACTTGGCCCACAGTGCAGACCAATAAGGCTAACAAAAGGTTATCACACAGAATATACAATAGGTCTGTTTTGGTCCACGTGCTTATCAAAGCTATACTGTTTCTCATCGCATACTACCACTCCTGAGGTTTTATAACAAACAATTTACAGTCCATAAAATTTTCTTGATGGTTAGAGATGGCTCTGTGATTAAAAGCACTTGTTGCTCTTGCAGAGGACCTAGTTTCAGTTTCCAGTACCCACATGGCAGTTCACAACCGTCTGTAACTCTAATTCCAGGGACCCAATGCCATCCTCAGATCTCTTTAAGCATCAAACATATACATGGTGCACATTCACACAAACAGGCAAAACACACACACACATAAAGTAAAAGCAAATATATCTTTTAAAAAGATCCTTTTCAGTTGTGTGTATGTGTTTTACTTTTTCTTCCTTTTTTTTTTGAGTACCGGAACATTTACCAACTCTCATAGATTTTCGAACTTGTGTTACTCATTGAATTGGGAATCACTATTCTTAGAATGTCTTAATTTCTCAACTGTGTGAGAAGACATGTAATCTACTAAATGCAGGGACGCTCTACAGCCTCCTGGCTGTACTGCCTCTCCTTACATACATTTCAGAAATGAGTGTATTTGACACCCACATTCATCCCTGCTGCAAAGTCAGAAACACTCTGCTCACTCGAAATTTTTATCTTTCTTCCTTTGAAAGGATTCCAAAAGGAACTGGAATAAGGTTGTAGAAGGGACGAGCTCAGGGTCGAGAAGACAGACTCATCGGGAACCAAGGGGAAAACCAGGCAGTCTGGTCCCTCCCTTCAAAGTCTACAGCAGCCAAGCCCTTCAAAGATGCTGCCTGTCCACTCCTTAAGCTAGGATCTGCTGCTCTCTACACAAGGTGCCTCAGAGGGTAAAGAGCAGATCCCAGGCAATTTATGAACTCTGCTTTCTCACCAGCCTATCTGTACCTAGAATCTGCAGGAGCCAGAAAGATCTGAACTGCCATCCTTCAAATGCAAGCCACCTGCTCAGAAAGGTCTGCAGCAGCAGCCTGGGGGACTGTAACCACTCAATTGCAAACCTTCGAGCACACTTAGTCTAAGCCAGAGGGTTTATATAGCACATTCAGAATGAGGCTTCTGGCGAATATCACACTTCAGGAAAGGTGGAGTAGGCGAAATAGCTTTGAGTTTGGTTTGGTTTAAGCCAGTAGTTCAAGAAAACTGAGCCCCGGGTGACAAGAGCACCCCAGCGATCTCGCCCACTCCACCCACTCACACATACTTACATGTACAGAGACAAAGAGAAGTGAATTGCAATGCTCCTTGTCTCTCGTTTTCATAGTTCTCATAAAGAGCAGAGAGAAGGGGAATATCCTGATGCCTTAAGGTAAATTGTATTCAGCAATTAGGAAAGGAAATGGCCTGCTTTCCTGGAAACCTTCCAATTCTCACTACTTGTGATACCCAGTTGTTAAAATTCAGTAACATAAGGGTTAAAACCAGAACCTACTCAGTAAAAGAGAACTAGGTTCAGCTCCACCCTCTGTAAAGCAAATATCAACAACTCTGGGCCAAATCCACTGCGGTGAACACAAGACTTTGGTGGCTGCCAAAAAACAGGTGAAAGGAGTTTCCTGGGATTTCTCACTTTACAGTACCACACACTTAAGTAGATTTCACCCACTTATGAAACACGGTGTTAGAATAAAAAGTACACATAAAAACTTGGGGGGAAAAAAAACAGTAACAAGTCATAGAGGTCAGTACCAATCAGCAAGAATAGCTAGAGTTTGGATAGAGAAGGTCAAACAGTATCCGTGGTAACGAAATCAAAACAAAAAGATACGGAAATAGGAGGAGCCCTGGCCCTAAAACTTACATTTTGGAAGGAAAGTTCTCAAACTGGAGGGTCAATTCCTATCTTTAAGGAAAGAGCCTACGGCTATACTGCTCTGGGCACCTAGGAGCCTGTTTCTACAAAGGTATTTGCTGGATCCAACGGTTACTGACACCCTATATGACACGGGAAAAGACAGAACAGGAGCACCTGGTCTTGCTAGAAATAGGAAGAGATGAGTCAGTCACTCCTTTAATTCAGTTGAGTGTGCTCCCAACTCTCCAGGTCACAGAACAGTTTCTGCCCACTTCCAACACTTCATCAGTTTACTTCCCAAACCTGTGGCCTTGGATCAGGATGCGGAGGGGGTGGAGAGTGCGGGGGCGGGGGGGGGGGGGGG